AGACTTCACCACCACAATCAGCTTCAGTGTTAATGTTTTATGACTATTATTGTATTGGAAAATCTTGTATTATTGTATTGTATTGTATTATTGTATTGGAATGTATTACAGTATTGGAAAATCTTGCTCAAGTAAATGAGCGAAAGAAACTGTAGTACAGCCATGACATCCAACAGTCTGCACTTTTCCCAAGTTCATGCTAGAGTCACAGGTTCCGTTCGATATTTTGGCCAAACACACTTAACAGGCGGTTTTGCGCATGTCTGTTCAGAAGCGTGTGTTGTCTGGTGGTTCCTCTCGTTGAGCTATGAGTTGCATGTTGATTGTTGCCTGGAAGTGTTCTTTCATTGTTGTTAGGACCAGCAAGTTGATTTTGATTCATAGTGACCCCATATGACAGAGTAGAACTGCCCCTTAGGGTTTCCTAGGCTGTAAGCTTCATGGGAGGAGCTCTGGTAGCGTATTTCCTAAGGCCCTTGGCTGCTCATAACAGCGGCAACAATGTTCATGGGAGGAGATAACCAGGTCTTTTTCGCGCAAAGCTGCTGGGTGGTTTTGAACCACCAACTTTTTGGTTAGCAACCGAGCGCTTAACCATCGTGCCACTGTTGTTGTTATGTGCCGTCGAGTTGGACCTGACTCATAGCGACCCCTCCTTGGGTTTCTGAGGCAGTATCACTATGGAAGTAGATTGCCCCATCATCCTTCCAATGAATAGCTGGTGGGTTTGAACCGCCAGCCTTCTAGTTAGCAGTCAAGTGCCTTAGGCACTGTGCCACCAGAGCTCCTACCTTCACAGAAGCAAAGCCCAAACCACACCCACTGGAAGCAAAGCCCAAACAACACCCACTGCCATTGACTTGACTTGACTCATAGAGACCCCTCCTTGGGTTTCCGAGGCAGCATCACTACGGAAGTAGATTGCCCAACCTTCCTTCCGAGGAGTGGCTGGTGGGTTTGAACCGCCAGCCTTCTGGTTAGCAGTCAAGTGCCTTAGCTACTATGCCACCAGAGCTCCTCATCGTGCCACTAGGGCTCCTTATTATTATTTCATTAAGCATTTGTGAAAACAGATATATCCTAATTCTTACTATTTCTTCCTTTTATTAACTGGAGTACTTGTAGAAGAAAAAAACGTCCCCCCCCCCCAACGATTTGGTCACACTAAGGGATAATTTGTGCAGTAAAGTACTCGGATCCTAAGGTGTTAGTAAATTTCAGATTGTTGTTCCTTACTTCCATTTCAGACCCTCCCACGCTTTTGGTTAGAGTCATCTTGTAGGTACAGAATTGCTTCTTCTTAAGATACTTGGGAAGTTAAATGATTTCTGCCATCAAGTCATAAGCCACCCCATCTTTGCAAAAGACATTGAGTGAAATTATTTGACGCATGGACTGGTGAGAGATTTTGCGTTTAATCACTTGCTCTAATTTCTACTGTTTTTTTGTTTTGTTTTGTTTTCTTTTTAGTCATAAAAGTATCAGAAGATTAGGATATACGTATTCACTTAGTGACCCAATTCCCAATCAGACACAGTACAGTGAGGAGTACAGCTGGAAATCTCACTCTAAAGAAGATTTGATCAACACTGGGACTGAAAAAGGCATCAGAAGCCACAAAGTTCACCCCCCTCAAGTAAGATAACATCTTCAGATCTTCTGGCTCTCAGTCTGTTGCAGCCACCCATAAGCACGTGACCTTGATTGTCCTGCAAAGACGCTGTCTCTTCTACAACCATGGGGTGCATGGTCCTTCTCTTCCTGTCTACCTGCTCTGATCTCCTTCTAACCACTGCCCCCCTCTCTAGTCCTCATCTGCTATGTTTTGGGCACTCTCCAGCCTCCATGCCTTTTATAATTGATTGTCTCCATCTAAAAACCAAAGACCAAACTCACTGCCATGGAGTCGATTGCGACCCATAGCGACCCCCATTGGGTTTCCAAGGCTATTTACATATTCTAATTCAAATGCAAGGAGCTCTGGTGGCACAGTGCCTAAGGCACTTGACCGCTAACCAGAAGGCTGGTGGTTCAAACCCACCAGCTGCTCCATGGAAGGAAGATTGGGCAATCTATTTCCGTAAAGATTTATCACCTTGGAAATCCAGTGGGGGTCATTATGGGTCAGAATCAACTTGATGGCAGTGAGTTTAATTCAAATGCAGTGAACAATAGAAACTAATAAATGAAGAATCAATGGTAGAATCAGAATATTACCCTTTGCATCTATCAACCTGATCCTTGAGCAGCAGCAGCTGCTAACAGCACACAGAGAGACAACCAACCATGAGTTACGTGGTCGTCCCAAACACCATAGTCTTGTCAAAGGGATCCAACCTGAGTCAGTCTCTGGATTCAGCTTCCAATAC